CGGCTGCGGCTGCCCTCGTTGGTTGGTGAGCGGGAGCGATTTCCTTCTGTGGTGTGTGAGCGGGAGCGGCTGCCCTCAAAGGAGGTGGCACTGGAGCCAGAGGCAGTGCGGGAGCGAACCAGGCGGGTCATGCTAGCAGAGGGCACTGAAAAGGAGGTGGAGGGCAAATGAGCAAATTTGGTTGTTCTAGTGCAATTATGAGCTGGTGTTGAGATTAACTAAATACATTTACTCAAATTCATACTCTATAGCTCTACTTTGCAATATTTAAGAGGGAAATATTGAAGTTTTTACACTACCACATTAATCTGACTATAGTTACAGGCTGTTTTGGAGATAAATATTCTAAAATCCTATTATGAGCATACAAAATATACTGCATTGTTATGCAGCAAACCAAACCACTCAGCAGCATGCAAAATAAGCTCCGCTTTGACTTTGTATACATTAATATTCTTTTCACATTTTGACAGTCACTTTTATTGACCAACTATGTTACACACACAAGGACTTTGTCTCTAGTACAGAACTGAGACAGCCATCTGTGCTGCCAACTCACACACACGCTGCAAGGCGCTACTCTGGCCTCCAGGAGCAACTTAGGGTTCAATGTCTTGCCCAAGGACAGTTCAACATGTAGACTAGGGAGAATGGGAATCGAACCGCCAACCTTCTGGTTAGAAGATGACTGCTCTTACTTCCTGAGCCACAGCCACCCACATTTAAATAAGTATACAATCAGGGCAACTTTGAGGAGGTTCTTTAACTGAAAGAGTGGGTATTTTAGCTTCAACTAAGTTTTACTGATAATACTTTTACTTAACTACAGATGTGAATACTTCTGCTCCAGTGGTATTCCTACTTTTAGTAAATAAGAAAAGATTTGGAATATGCCTTCCACTACTGTTCTGTGCATACTCTGTAGGACAGTGAGCATGGAGTTGACCTTGGACTAAGTTCATGTTTCACCCCAGCGAGCATGAGTCATTTATTAACCAACACCAAAGGGTGAAGAAGGGCATGAGAACTGTTGGGCTGAAGGGCTGAAGGGCTTCATATCACCACAAGGCGGCAGAAACATTCACAACACCAGCAATTTTAAGTAAAATAAATAAATACATTCAAAGTTGTCACTGTGTAGTGTAACAAATGTAACCTTAACATATTGGAGAACTGCAATGCACCAAAATAAAAACACTACATATTTTGAATACTTACTGTAGCCCATGCCCTGAATGAAGTATTTGAAAGCTTCTGTCAGCTTGCCGGGCTGCAGAGAAGGAGAACACAAGGCGGGAGAGAGTCAGTCCTCTTGTTATTGATTACTACACTTGCTTGCATAACACTGAAAGACTCAATCTCTCATCCAGGAGTTTACAGCTCAGGTCTAAGATATGACAGGTGCTATAAGCAGGTGCTGTGTAGGGTGGAGGATTATAACCTGATAACTGTGTTTCACGTCTGCTACTTGCTAATGCTCTTAAGTACAACCTTCTTTTGCCACTCTCCCATCCACCTGGCTCCCTGTGCTGATTATTCGGCCCTGTCAGGCCTCCTCTACAACATTAACAGTGTCTCACATAGATTTTTTTTTCTGTTTCTGTCACACAAACACAGACAAACACACCTGGTCAACCTGGGGCATGCCACCACAGTCCGCCATCTGGAGAGAGTTGAAAAAAAGGCCATTAGCATGTTGGTGTTTGTACATTCACACAGCAGTGCACACACATCATTACCACCCATTATAGTCAACATGTCCCATTTGAACATTTTGGACACCTTGTGCCCGCTATCTCCAATTAATGTTCCTCTAGACTCTGAACATTTAACCCTGATAAATGGGTCCCATTTCGGCTCAAATAGTTGTTTGGTTTCAGTTTTGGATCATAAAATGTTGCCAAAGGCCAACATAAGCAGGTCTGTTGCAACAGAATGCATCCTAAGAGGTGACACGCACCGGAACAGCGCCTTGGTGAATTTATTCAGCTGACCTACCTCTGGCTAATGTGTCACCAGATAAATGCTGAGCCACTGAAATCTTATCAGCTGATGTGTTTCCATCAAGGCTATTATAATCTGAATGAGGACATGGGAAAGGACGGGGAGGGGAAGCAGGGCAGAGGGAGGAAAACAGGCCCCTTTACCTTTAGCAGGGTAGTCTTTGTTGGGTCCAGTTTGGTGTTGCACTCAACCTGTAGGCACAGATCAAAGAAATGTATTTAGTAAAGTATCTTATGAAATGTGTGAAGTTTATTCCATATTAGAACATTTGCAAAAGCAGAAACAAAAAATACATTTTTATTTCAATTCAAAAAGACACAATATGCACTACCTATAGCTAATAAATATTCTTTGGGGGATATGAACTGAAAACAGCAAAAGTCAAACAAGTCTCTTAACTTTGATGGAAACTACTTTGCATCACCCAATTTTTGCTTCCAACCATGTTCCTCTCAAGTCATGTTAAACTGTTAAGCATTTAATCTTGCATATCTCTCAGGTTTAAATAGGTCACTGAAGTAAATAATAATAATAATTATAATACTTTATTTGTATAGCACTTTACAACTCGGTAGGAGCCCAAAGCGCTTCACAGAACAGCAGATAAAATACATGACCAACAACATACAAAATAAGAGCAAAACAAATAGAAAACACATCCAGCACAAGTTAGCTAGATTATAGTGCTGGGCAGTCTAATGGTTAGCAATAGTCTAGTCTGTAACGGCTGCGTGAGTGTCAGAGGTCAACTCACCACGGCGTCCACAGCAGGAGAGCTGTCGCCCACCACCAGCAGAGAAGGGCATCTGGGTAAGGGAAATGCATACAATTAAAAATCAGTGGTGGCAATCCAGTGATGCTCGCTTGTTTATTTATTTTCATGACCACTTACTTGAGGGTTCTCACATTGCTTCCAGGGACCGGCCTCTCAATTTCCAGATCCCTCCGACTGCAAAGACAGATGTGTATATTGTAGAAAATCTTGAACAAATTCCAATATATGTTAAATAAAAGTTCATACTACAAACTGTCGCATCTTAGGTTGTGCTTTATCTTGTGTATTTTCCAATCTTAAAAAGCTTAGTTAGTAATCCAATCTATTATTAAGTGTTTACCTTCCGTAGGACTTGACAAAGAGATGCAGGTTAAACTGGTTCATGTCATTCAAGATATGGCGGCGGTATGTGGTAATCAGATCATGGTTGTTGTGAATCTCCTCCTGTGGTGTCCAAACACAAAATCAGTTTAATAAGACCTACAGACCGAGAAAAACTCATTATTAACCTACTGCCCTGTATGTGAATATCATAAGATTCCTGTACCTTTCCAAAGAGGTGGGTGATGATCATGTCAGACATGGCATGGGTCCAGCCGCTGATCTTAAATTAGACATAACAGTTTCAGGTTACTTCTCTAATATTTCAGGCAGTTATTTAAAAACTACTACATGTGTGTATGTATGAGCTATAAAGGTGTGTGTTACCTTGTGTGCAGCCCAGTCCATCCATCCCTCAGCACAGGGGTTGATGTTGATGAGCACCAGGCCCTCCGCCATGTTTGGGTTGTCCAGCTAAAACACACAGAGCACAAAACTACAGTAACACAGTAACACACAATACTGCTTCCGATGAGGAAGCAGAGGCTGAGGGCTCAGAGGTGGACTCGTCCATCACCCAAGCTGAAGTCACTGAGGTAGTCAAGAAGCTTCTCTTTGGCAAGGCACCGGGGGTGGATGAGATCCGCCCTGAGTACCTTAAGTCTCTGGATGTTGTTGGGCTGTCTTGGTTGACACGCCTCTGCAACGTCGCATGGCGGTCGGGGACAGTGCCTCTGGACTGGCAGACCGGGGTGGTGGTCCCTCTTTTTAAGAAGGGGGACCGGAGG